CGCGGGCGGGGGGCGGCGCAGGCCGCGGCCGATGCCGAGCGACTTTCTGAGGCGAAAAGAAAACTAAACTGTGGGAAAGGTATTTTAGGGGTGTTTGTTGCGTTGTCTGAGCGCCTGGAATAAAAGTATATAGCCGGGACGAGTACCTCACGGCGTCGGCTCATCAGCCTCCTCGCAGGCGGTATCAGCGCCGCGATAATGGAGCTTTTATTACGGCTTCTGCGTATTCTGTGTCACGGTTTGAGGTCCCGCCGATTTGAACAGCTCGGCTTTCCCTCAGCGGGGCCCTGAGCCGTTAATTAATTGCCCCCTCAGGGCGGGGGCAGCAGCGCCTCTGTGGGGAAGAGCCCGCCGCCCCCGCGGGGTCAAAGTGGAGCCGGGGCCCGCTGGGGCTGTCAGCCTTTTTGTGAGGGGTGAGCGGCCCGGGGGGGCTCTTAAAAGGGTCAAAAAACCCCATTTAATTTCCCGTTCACCGTGTGTTTCCCTTAAAACACAAGGCCGGCCGTGTCTTTGGCCAGGGGAGGAAACACAGAGCAGCCCCTTTTCCTCACCCACCAAAGAGGGCAGAGAAAAGGGACCGGAATAAACCTGAAATGCTAAAATTTTGAACAAATTGAGCCGTTATCAATAATTAAAATAGGGAGGAATTCCTACTCCACACACACTCACACTATTCTTTTAGCTGCATAAGTTAATCAGTGTTTAACAAGGGGATATGTAATCTATAGCTTTAGCAAAATGAGTACTAAATGGTAAACACAAAATATTTCACGCAAACTACTTCAAGCTTTCCCTGAAGCTACCTCATAAAAGCTGTTTCAAGCTTTCTTTGTCTCTGATTTAGCCCACTTTATAGCCCACTTTATAGCCCATGCTAACCTATCAGGGGCCATAAGTATTCCATTGTCTCAGAACTAGCATTTGATTAATGTGACCAGAATTATTTCAGAGATTATTCTTAACTAAAAATTTGATGTGTTATATCAATTGTCAAAAAGGAGAAAATAAAGTGTTTGTGCTGAAATCAGTATTAATTCTTTCTGCAGGTGGCTGATGCGGGAGTCACGCGGACTGAACCCAGTCCTTCCCGGGGGAGTTTTGGTGAAAGATGGGGCAGGAGATTCCGCCCCTCACCAGCTGCCCCCGGGGGGGCAATGCCATGGGGGAGACCCGCCACGTCCCCTGGCCAGCCAGCGTGACACTGCCTCGCAGAAATGCCCCCTTGGCCATCACTTGGTGAGCTACCTCTGTAGGAGCAGCTTGAGTCCTTGGTGAAGAAAACCAGCCAATTCACTCCATCTGTAGTACCAACGCACACCAAAATTTAGTGAGTTCTTATGATTTCTCGATATTTGCTTGTATACTTTGTTAAAAATCATGGAATCATAGAATCACGTAGGGTGGGAGGGACCTTTCAGGTCATCTAGTTCAACCATCAACCCAGCACTGACAAAACCCACCACGAAAACATGCAGATTATGTATTTATTTTATAATACTGCCACTATGAAACCCAAAGTAAAAATTTTAAGTGCCACAGTGCCAAATACTGTACTGTAGGGAGTTCCAAAGGGACTCTGCAACAACCCCCTTGGTGCCCCCCCATGCCTGGCTTTGAAAGGGGACATCTCGGGGCAGTGTTTGTTTTTGCCAAGATACATAAAGCGTTGTGTGTGCTCCTGGTGGCGCTGCCAGGAGCCTGTCTCGGTTTCCAGAGAGCTTCCAAGTTCTGCTGGTGAAGTGCAACCCTCTTCTCTGGGCAAGGAGAGCACGGAACGACAGAGCAGTCGCGCTGCCCAGACTCACCAGTGGGAAAATGGGCTTTGCAGTCACGCTGCCCTAGATTGGAAAATTAAGTAGCTGCATAAATGTGACAGGTCCATGTTTTATGCAGCCCTTGCAAGTACCGATTTAGCCTTGTAACGCTGTGCTCAGAATTAGCTGTTCCTTTCTCCAGCCCATTGCCAGCTTCCAACCAGCAGTAGAGCAGTAAGGACCTTCTGTATCTCCTGCAAGTGCAAAGTCCATAAGCAAAAGCTTTAAAGAACTTGGGCAATTTGACCATTGAAAATTAAACTGCAGCACCAGCTAAAATGGCATTTACCTGGTTTCCATAATACCATCAGTGCAGAGAGGGAGCCAGCTTCTCCTGCTGGTCACCGCTCTCCACACAGAGGGTTTTCTTGGGTTGCTGTTTTGCAAGGAGGAACATTCTCATCCTCATACAGAATTTAGGCAGGCAGTTTTTGTCATTGTAAATGCAGGAAGAAGCCAGTGCCTCATCATAGGTTGAGATACAGACCTGGCAGGTACTTGGAAAAGTCCTGTAACGAGTCCCTGGTCTGTGTGCCCGGTGAGGGACCCTCTGGTGTTCGGTCTCCATCTCCCTGCCTGTAAGTGCCGGCTCTGGCTCCTCAGAGGAGCTTTTCAGAAACTTTTAACAGAAACAGGCACAAATGACAAAGCAATTACCTGAGTTTTGAGGAGAACCGTGGGAGTTTTCTGTGAGATTCTAAGAACTTTATCCACTACCACATCATTTCTTTTATCTGCCACTGAAATACCTTAATAAGCTTTTTGAAACATTGCTGCCTCTTGGAAGCTTAGTGAGAATTAAGTAATACAAAGCCAGGGAGCCCTGGAACGTAATTAGCCCTTCCTTGCCTCACCTAAAGGCAGCACTAAGGGCTCTGCAGGTGAAAAATACGCAGGCTGGATTCCTGGGCTCTGCATGTGGAACATCCCCTGGTGATGACTACCCCAGATCGATCTCAGCATAGCTGTGCCAGCACAGGGAGGTACTGCCCAAGCTATAAAAATAGTAAAAGATTTAAATCAAAGCAGCAATCTGTACTGATGGCTTTTATTCTGTAGAAATGCTAATTCTGTAAAACCACTTTTAAGATCTTAATTTGGGATTTGTCTAGCAATATATTCATTAAAACTAATGTAGGCTAGTGCAAAGGAAGTAACACAATAAATAATAAACTTGCATTTGTTCCTTTCCTTCTGAAAAGGTTTAAGAAAAAAAATAGATAAGAAATACTTTATCAGCTTCTGAAATGGATCCAACTCTTAAGAGCATTGCAATAACCATTTACCTCTGCACCTGAACACCATAAACCAGACAGTTATTGCAGTGCCGTGGAATTCCATTGTCCTGGTCAGTCATTCAAACCCAGGGTTGTTTGGGGGCCAGAGAACAGCTGAGGCTGGTGGGCACATCTGGAGCCTTGAAGTCTTGTCTGGTCCAACCCCCCCAGCTTAAAGCAGGGGCAGCCAGAGTTCGGACTGTGTCCCCTGAGATTGGGAACATCCTCACGGATGGAGACTGCACCACCTCCCTGGGCAACGTGCTCCAGTGTCCAGTCACCCTCACAGCAAAAAAAATACAATAAAACAAAATAAAATATATGTTTAAAATGACTAAACTGCAGTCTCGCAGCCCAGTGGAGATGTGGTCCATATGAGCTGCTGCCACTCCATCAAAAGTTCAGGTGAATTTCCATGTCTTAGTGGTTTTTGTGTCCATCTTATGTGCTAGGCGAGACTTGTGTTTGCCAGCTGCCCTGTCAGGGTGGACAGTGAATGCTACTGGGTTTTGCCATCACCACAAAATGCTTCCACATGTACATACACGACGGTTCTACAAACGTTTAATCTTGTGTCAGAGTGTGTTTGGAGTGTCCCAGTCCTCTCCCTCCTGAGCTGCTGCTGTACTGACTGGTGCTGTGACAACAGGAGATGGGCTGCGACGCTGGAGTGACGGGGAATCCTGCAAGTAACGCAGAGATCCTGGGGCTCTTATTCACTGCATTTTCCACATTGCTCTATTGGCAGTTGCTGTCAGGAGGCTGAAAGTATCGAGACAAATACATTCGGGTAGAAGCAAGGAGTTATCTGTAACAAAGAACTTCTGTGGTTTTCAGAATGAAAGACTTTTTTTTTTCTTTTTGCTTCTGCAGAATTGAAAAATAATGGATAAGCAGGACAATAGTCAACTTTTGCTTCTATACGTGTTCGTGTGGTTTCAATCCCATATGAAAGGTGATTTTGGTCACAGAAAAGTCATGCAGCATTGCTGCTGTCCTCAGATGGCTGCTTGCTAAGCAAGTCTCAAGATAACAACCGGAATTTGTATATGTTTCAAACTATGGATGGCATAACTGTGCTGCTTGCTAAGCAAGTCTCAAGATAACAACCGGAATTTGTATATGTTTCAAACTAGTGCTTGATAAAACATACGTTGTCAAGGCTATTATTTCTACTTCCTTAGGAGAATCTGTATTTTGAATATGCACTTGGCAAAGCAACCAATGTGAAAGCCTGCATTTGGAAAACTCTCCTTTCTGGCAAAAGAAGCGTGGGTGGTAGTTTATTCAGGCATATTGTTTCATTTGGTCGGCTGAGGGTATCTGAGTCCTCACTGTTTGCAAAAATTTTCCAGGAAAGTGCATAAAAATTTTTATATATACACCAGAGG